ATTGGGTAGTTAACTTTCAACTAGTGGGTCACGTGTTTGAACACTCCTCTGCCTACCGAGGTTTAGGCAGCCAGATAGTAGGGGTGACTTTAAAAGGTCACCCTAGTAGCTGTTGGGAGAGCCAATCAGGTTTCGATATTTCGGCTAAGAAGTTAAATTTTCATAAAATAATACTGAACTATAATCGGTTGTTCTCACAGCTACTAAGGTGGCCTTTAAAGTCACTCGATAGTAGTATCACTAGACCTCATACAATAGATGTGACTTATTGCCTAATATGTGAACGTGCACAATATTACTGAAAATCCATTTCGATTTCGATTCGTTCATATGTATCACTTATGAGTTGTCCTTCTATCAAATTATTCAATCGCCTCTTTCAAAATCACACTAAATATTCAATATTGGTTTATAGTATATGTGCTTTTTGCAAGCGCATTGTTTGCACTTCGCAAAAATCTGACAGTCACCTGATACAAAGTACTAAGTTAGCTAACAAATTCGACTCTTCAGTATAATGTCAAAATAATTGCTTCAGTAAATTTGATTTGATTAGCCAAAGGACTGAAACCTACTCAAGTTGCTTACAATTATATTCCAATGATAATAGCCTTGTATTTTTAAGCCCTTGTTTGAAAAAATACCAATACACATGGTGAAATTTGTATAAATTACTCGGAAGTCATTTGCTTTTGGTTAAAACTAGAGTCTTAAATCTGCGTTCCACCTCACTTCAGCTTCATCAGCTTAATGTAACTTTAATGAATAATGATACTTTGGTTGGTTGGGGGCTAGAAGAGGAATCCAGGACGCGCGTTTCGTTCCATCAGGGACTCGTCATGTGAGTGTACCTGCACCCCAGTGCGGAGTGATGCTGTCTTCACTGAGACTCGAACCTCGTGCCCATCGCTTCAAACACCAAAGCTTTATCCATTGTGCCACAGAGGCACGGTAGCCACTTCTTGTACAACGGGTGGTAGTTATTACTATTTATTGATATACTTGTAGTTCTCCGTTGTTCTGCAGGATCGAATTATTTGACCTCTATTAGCATGTAGGCTCCTATGTGGATGCCTCTATTCTGCCTGATTGTTAATTATGGTAATTTGGTTGGTTGTGGTTGCAGGTACATCCAGCTGACGAGTCCCAAATAGGTCGAAATGCGCGTCCTGGATTCCTCCACTAACCATAACCAACCAAATGACCATAATTAACACTCAGGCAATATCGAGGCATCCGCATAGTAGCTTATATGCCAATAGAGGTCGAACAATTCAATCCTGTAAAACAACGGAGAACTACAAGTATATCAATAAATAGAATATTGATACTCTCGACCGATAAGTTCCAGATAAAATAAATTGTACATTCCACTGAGTCAAGAAATAGTTAACGTGAAAATTTTAATTACATCTTAAAAATTAACGAAGGAGTAGGTTGAAGATGTAATTTGAGAAATTCTTCATTTAAAGGGTTATATGCTATTGTTGTGTAAATGAGTATGCCATACCTATAAAGGTTGATAATTATCGATTCTAACTATCGTTTAATTTCTAGAAATTATGATAACTTTCACGCTAATCAGATGGTTTTCATCAAGATTAATCTAATGGTTATAGATCAGATTTAAAGAACAAACAATATGTTGTTGTTAATTAGTTATGTACCCTGAAAATCAATACAGTGCTAGTGGGTTACATGTATCAGCTGATATCATAGCACGTTGAGAACCCTTCTTCTCTTCATGCGAAAACGTTTTGGCACTCCTGATTTTGACGCAAACATGTTACTGTAGAAAAGATTGTCTTTGTCATTTGAGCCGAGAGCCAATCTTCGACATAGTCCATCCGGTACCAGTCTTCCACTTAATGTAGCAGCCATGTGACATCATCGATGATGAAAATATGTTTCCATTTCTGATTGAGTTCATTCTTGAGGTTTATATATATTGTTCAGTTCTCATTTTGACTATCTGAGATAGCCGTGGTCGCTGGTTCAAAACCCTCTGCGGTGAAATCCCTGCACGGATACAAAAAGCTCGACTGGCTTTTGCCAATTTACGCCACCTATGGCACCGCCGTGTTATCCGTTTGTCTTTTAAAGGTGGCGTGTACTGCATAGCAGTCCGCTCTGTTCTACCGTATGGCTGTGAAACATGGCCATTGAAGGTGTAAGATATGAGAAGGCTTCAAGTGTTTGACCACCTTTGCTTTCGTAGTATAGAATGTATTGCGTGGTGTCACCATGTGAGTAACGCAGAAATCAGGTGTAGGTGTAGAGTTTTAGGTAGTACAGGTAAATCAGTTGACGAGTTTATGAACCTGCATCGACTGAGACGGTTGGGACACGTGTTACGTATGTCTAGCCACCGATTGCCTCATCACACAATGGTGGCTGAAGTAGGCCAAGGCTGGAAAAAGGCTCGAGGTGGCCAGACTAAAATATGGCACCAATGTATGAAGTCTCTGACTGTTGGTTTGAGCCATATGGGGCGATGCAGACCAGATGGTTGGGGTCCGCGGGACAAGAGGAACCAGTGGTTGGAGATTAGGTGATATGGCTGGGAACCGATGTAAGTGGCGCAGATGTATACACATATTGTCCTCATCTTAACGACGCTATATCGAATCTCACCATTTTCTCATCCTTTCTTTCTTTCTTTCTTCTTGTACTTTATATTTCTTCTGGCTGCATTCTCTTTTCTTCATCCTTCACCTCACTACCTTTCTACTTGATGTACTGATATGAGCTGTGGCAACTCGGACCGTTACGCATTAATCCCTGGTCTTATGTTGATATTGATGGTGATGATCACCTTTAATCATCACTCAGTATCAATATTATCTAATGTTTTGAAAAAATACATTAACTTCAGGATATTTTTCTTCATAAATTGATATTTAGTGAAGAGTGATATGAACTGTGAAGCTATAGCAGATAGTTTATGAAGAACGTTGACAAACCTTCATGTTGTGGTATTGTGAGTTTATGGAAATTGAAATCAATGCTTGTAGGCTCTAGGTTATGTGGCTCACGACCAACTACAATGTCACAAATACGTCAACCGATCAATTATGTCCATCTCTGTCAGTCAACATCAACAATGAATCTGGGATCACTGCATAGTGCTTCAACTTTGCCACATGTATCAATACATCGTGACAGATTCTGAAACATATATCATGTACAGTCACCAAACACCGGTTTCTGTTATCAAGTGGACCCCAACCGGTAAGCCTACATTCCCCTACATAGTTGAGACCAACAGTCAAAGACTTCACAAATTGACCAACTCTAACCTTTTTACACTTTTAGTCTATTTCAGCTTATAGTGTACGACGAGGCGTTCGGCGGCTTAAGTATGTGTAACACATCCCAACCACTAGGGTCAAAAGTTCATACGAATCTAAACCCCAATATCATATATCGAATTAAAAAATATCGAAATGTGCTTAGCAACCACGTTTGTGCAGTAGGTAATGAGCTACGCTCATTTTATCACGGCTGATGATACTGCTTGTCTACTCATATCTCAGTAGACGAAGCAGGGTTCGAACCCCGCGGCCTACTAGTTGTATTTCGACTGCTCAAACCACTGAGCCACAGCTTTATATATCCTTCATTTTTACGATTAACTACGTGGTTACTCTTTCCATCTGTTTTTCTTCGGTTTTTCTGACTTCCACTTCAATGTGTTAAGGTGTAAGGTAGCAACTTAGACGGTTACTGATTTTTCTATGTCCCAGGTTATTCACGTATGTTTGTGTTAGGCTGTGTAACTTACTGATTAATCACTGCATCCCAATCCATTTATTATGCAGGTGTTATGGGCTTATAGTTTCTCGCATATGTCCTGAGTTGCTTTTCAATACTTTTGCGCAAATCGACACTGCTGAAGTGTGTAGTGATGGATAAGAAGTCCTTCCGAGGTTTTGGAACTTCTTTGTTACTCATCAACTAGGTTTATCTCTAAGCTTGATAAAACTCATACTCCTTCAGGATTTCGAATGCGCGTCATTCTATTTAGAATTAACAGATGTTACTACTGAATTATTTCAACGGTAACCAACCTGTAGGAGTGGATCAGACAAATCTTTTGTTCCATGAAGAGTATATCTAGCTTCAAGTACGGATCGAATAATATCGATCAACTTTGTAATGTGTTCATCGAATTAGGAGAGTTATTACTGTGGCTGCCCCTAAGCACCTGACATCAGTCAAAGTGTACCACGTTGATGATTGTCCCAATTAAGTGATCTTAGCATGAACCTGGTATGTTGAATTTGATTGGTATCTATCACTTAACAATATGAACTAAGCACACTAACACCTAAGCTCCAAACGCGATTTTTTCTAGTGTGTAGAATATGAGTAACTTCAGAAGAAATTCCTTATGTGTATCCAACCCAAATCAGTTCACAAACATGCATACAACCTTCCATGATCCTATCAACTGTTTCCTAGAAGAAGGAACCGACCCAAATCTGGATGGTCCCACTTACTATGACTTATTCCTCTCGCCTTATTAAACAGAATTGTATTAATTGCATACAGTTGCACAACTTGAGAATGATGTCGTTGAAGTGGGGGTTCCTCTCTGCTTAGCTTTTCTCTTCTCTGAAAAATTACTAAGCTGACAAAAATGTATTATTAGCCTACCGCTACTTCAAGCCTATAAATATGATATAACAATTCGATTTTGAGTGATCCAGTGAATTAAAAAGTTCTCGAATAGGATTCTCCAGAACACGTGATATCATGAATCAGCTGGTGAGGTGAGGTAAATTTTAACCAAATGATCAATGATCTGGAACGTTCACCTCTATTTGATTTGATTCGAATAATATATACATGCTGGTGGCTTCAGATGCCATTGACGATATTCAAACTTCTTTCCTAGAAATGGTTATAACTAATGTTGCAGTTGTTTTTAAACATTTTTCCAACGTATTCAACTTTAAATTTACGCCTTGAATTTCTTTTGTTCTATATTTATTTAGAATGTTGCCAAATTAGACATGGTTCTACAATCCCTGCCAAAGATTGCTGCAGAGATTAGTTCACCGTTGACGAAATGTGAAAAAGTAACTATGGTATCCACAGGTGAAGGAGATATTGGTGTTGCCAAACTCACGGGTGAATTGTTCACAATCATGAACAGTTTACCACAATTGATACATTCCATGACTGGTTTAGATGTCTACAAAAGCATAAAAACAGTATAGTCTAAAAAGCACCAAACAGATTGTGTAATTATTATCATTATTCACACAAATTACTTTATTCTTAATTTTCTTCAACTACGCTATAATTTTGTTAGTTCGTTGGTGCAGTTAAAATCTATCCAACTTCAATCCACCTACTTGCGAGTAGTATAAATAGATATATTAAATGATTATCTGTGCTCCGCATATTTTATACCCACTAATTTACTACTACCCATATATTTTATGCTTTTTGTCACAAATTACAATTACGCAATGCAACCTGTTAATTTATTTTTCTCATTTAGTGGTGTTTTTAATTCAATGGTGCACAGTATTGTTCCGACAGTAAGATGAGATTAGTACTTTTTGTCATTATGCAGGCGGAAAATCCTTTCTTCGAAGCTTGATTGTTTAAAATACTTGGCATGTATGTTATCGACCACAAACTAGTTTCGTTAAAGATATTGGTGAGGTTAACATTCTTCATGCATTTTTTACCCAACAAAGCACACATCACTTGTTTTGTCTTTCAAGACACTTTTATAGTTTTCCTAGTAATCTTACGCAGACGTTAAGTAGAGATTTTATGAACCGTTATGCTGTTTCAGTGTAGTAAGAAATAATTACACCAGATTTTGACTGTTCGATTTGTTCTGGAGCATAGACACGCTTACTGGCGCCCCATACTTGTCATATTTCCTGGTCTGAAGACGAAATTCTGTGTCGACACAGACGTGTCGTCTCTTTAACCGAGAAATTGTGTAATGCTAATTAAGACTTGCTACTTAACGCAGTACAACCGCATAAATGCTTATTGAGAGTTGTCATGTGAAGTAATGACAACCAATCACCAGGAGTTCCCGCTGTCGTATTTCATGTTCAACTTTGTTGTAGACGTGATAATGGATATAGCCATAGGTACCTTCAACTTTGCAAGGACTGACTTACTCCTTGGAGGGTGACTGGTCTATTCGGAGTACTCATTAGACATTGTTTCGTTGGCCGAAGACGCTGACAAAATGTAGGGTCTTCTTAATACCTTGGGAAAAAGTCTCAGTACGACTGACATAAAATGAAAGACGATACTTTAGCACCAGTCTGCACTGGTTCCTAGTTTTAAGGATGGAAAGCGGAATGATAGAATGCACTGATCACTTCCCTTACTTAGGGAGTTTTATCAGCCCAAACGTTCTCGTTGTTGATGGAATCTCAGTTTGGATGCAGCATATTGGTTTGAAATCTGCCAGTTGACGTCACCTCTGGCACTAGCGGAATATCTGGTTACCTATCAGAAGACATGTATACTGCACTGCTGTTCGCTCTGCCCTGCCATGCGGATGCGAGACATTCCCGTTGACAGTATTTATGAAGAAGGCACGTGCTTTCGAATACAGGTGTCTTCTCAGCATCACTCGCATATGGTAGAATCACCGTATGAGTAGTGTCAAGGTTGGGTGAAAGGTACTAACCAAGTCAGTCGATGAAGGTTCACAACTTGGACATGTGCCAAACCACCACCTACCTCAAATATGTAATGATAACAGAAGTTGGATTTGTGAACATGAGCAGTAAGTTCCGCCCAAAACACCACTCACTAAATAATAATGTTTCTCTGTGTACTATATCAAATAAACAATCTAATATGGAAGTTACATTAATTTTGAAGAAGGCTCATGGTGTTCAGATCAAGGCACTCTATGAGCTATCTGGCTGGTAGTTTGGACCATTAAGACTACCCGGCTGAGGTCCTCGAGGCTATAGGAATCAATAATTGAAGACTCTTGGTGTCATGGCTAAACGTTCTTGAAAATGGTACAAATGTATTCTCTCTGACTTCTAAAGCTGGAACATTTTCACTAACCTTCATTTTCCCGAATTTCTGATCCTATACACTTTTGTGTACTTTAATATCTCTGCCTCTACCCACTTTTTATTTACATGCTACTGTGAGATTTAGTAACTTTAGTAGTCAGTGCCACGTACTACTTTGATTTTGTCTCGGTTTATCCACAGAAATCCTATATTCTACACTGAGTAACCTTAATATGTGAATTTGTTAGACCTGAACTGATCAGTTTTGGATGGCTAAGTTAAAGCGACCAACAACTCTTCCTCTCAACAGCAAACGTTTTTTCTTGATAAATAGGTGTATGGTACATTTTAAACAGCAGCAAGTTTTCGGGTCTAACAGAAGACATCGCCGTTAATCGATCAAGAAGAGGAACTGTTAGCGAAAATATGTTATGTGCTTTGCATCACTGAAGTGAAAAATACTTTTGCAAGGTTGACATGATCCTGCACTCACCCTTGGTAGTGAGCTATTGGAAATAGTCGCAAAGTTTGTGTATCTGTGTAATTATGTGAGTGCTAGTGGAGGTGTGTCGTGAAATTTTAACTGTATATCGAAAGCTAGAATGCCATACCTTAATCTGGGCCACCTTTGGCTCCATTGCTACGTTAGTCTGGCCGTAAAAGGTAGGGCCTACAACGCTTCGGTGCAAGCAGTTCTGCTCTCTGCCTGTTAAACCTGCCCTCTCGTAGCTGAGGATGTGCCACGACTGTGTGTGTTCGATCATCGGTGTCTTTGTAGGATTGTTCGTATCCAGTGGCAACACCATGTAAGTGATTCTGAAGTACGATAGCGTGTGTTTGACTATGATGGAGACTGTCATTCAATACTTGAAGTCATCTAGAAACACCGGCTTTCGTAGCTTGAACATGTGTTACACATGTCGTTCCAGTGGGTTGCATGCCGTTCATTATTCTCTAACCCTGGGACTGGATGGAAGAAACAGAGGGGATGAAGGATAGTTGTATCGGGTTAGCATCTGTTGGTCCACTACGACTCCCTTGGTGGGGTCCGAGAGATCACGCAACTCAGTGGCTTGATTACTGTCTCATTTCTTCTCTTTTTACGACTTAGCCATCTATGGTTACTTTTTGTTCTTACCTTATTTCTCAGTCTTTCCATTTTGGTGCCTTCTCATTTGATGTGCTGGTGTTAAGTTTAGTGAATTGGAACATTACGCAGTAATTGCAGGTGATTTTGACTTTCATACCTCTCAAAAGCATCACTTACTTACTTACCTTGACCACCATCCTTGTTTTACTGTATAACTGTGTATTCAGTAAATATTATTCAGAAGTATAGATGTTACATAAATATTAAAAATGCGTGATATTTGATGCTTTATAAACGCCTAAACATTTTCCATTATAAATGTGTACACATATGGTTATGCACTGCATTTCAGAGCCATAAAATAAATTAATCACATAGATCATTGATTGCTTCGTTTAAATTCACGACAGGTTAAAGTAAACATACTTGATATGGAGATGAACCTTGCAAGGAATTATTCACCAAAAGTACACAATTTCAATTAAAATTTATGCTTGATCATAAAAACCGAAGTGACCAATATTCTGATCATTTTCACTGTTGCAACTCATACTAATTATTATTGTCAACAGTGTTTAAATATACTGATCAATAAAATCATATTTGTCTACGTAAAGGTAGATTTACCGATGACATTATATCTGTCTGCGTTAACAATACACACACTCATACTTTTTCAAATACAGAGAGCAGTCAATTTTTATTGCCTATTCGTTATGATGAGTCATCATTGCTTTATTAATCTTTGGGTGAATATACCTTAGCGAATCACTTACGTATTTTGAAATCAAGAAAATGACATTGGTGAAGTTTTGTTATGATAAGGTTGATGTAAAAAAAAATGTTCGTTAAAATTCTGTATCCCTTTCATAGTTGATCTTCAAACATTCAAAATAACTAAGGTGAACTTTGAATAGAGAGGAGTAACTTGAACTGATGTAATAACAGCTACTTATTGGAATGCATCTCAGTAGTATAAATAGCAATGTCGAAAATAATAACGATTGACTGATGAGGATTCGAGTAAAAAGAATATACTATATTGAATAGCAATTCAGGGGACAAGAACGGTGTGGACTAACATGTAGAACAATAGATTGTTTGAAAACATGTGTGGTATTTTCTCAATTAGCAACATCAACTGCTCTATGGGACTTCTCTTCATAGATGTCTCTGCCTACCATCCTGATGAAGATACTTCTACTACAAATCTGGTCTACCACGCAATCACCAATGTCAGGGAGGAGTAAGAAGCACAACTATTGGCAACGCAGTAAATACAGAGAGTCAGCGAAAGTCTCTTGACATCTGATTGGTATAATAGCAGCAGTCATAGGGGTGCAGGAGGCCAAGAAAGGAGTCGAAGACCTACAACAGCAGTCCTGCATACAAATGTCAACCGAAAAGACTTTCGTTTCATTTGCAGGAGGATGAGACACTGGTACGTAAATTACCACGCGTTACTGAAACTTAAAAATTCAAATGCGTGTTCTTGCCTACAGTTAAGACTAAGAGTGATTAGTTTGACAGATAAAGGGGTGGTGTGTACTGGGATGAGAGTAAATGGTCAAGAAACATTTTTCTATCGATATGGGCGCAGTTGCTTCGTTAAAAAGGTAAGATTAGAAGGCTATGTACGGTGTCCATCCAGACCGTAGGTGGGCATGCATTTGGAGTTGTAGACATGATCGGTTGTGTTGGTTGGATAGATGGAGGCAATCGACAGGAAACCTTCCACTTAGGTTTCGTTCCTGATAGAACTCGTCAGTGGGTATGTCTGGAACCTTGGAGGAACTGATCTTCCGCTGAAGATTCAACTTCGCGTCACTCAGAACTGCAGTCAGTGACGTTACTAATGAGCTATTCGGACCGCGTTTGACCTCCTGTTGGACTGGATTAGTTACACTGGTCACCAATCAGTGTATGTATGGTTGTTTTCGCCACCTATCTGTTATGACTGCTCGAGTACGCTAAAACATACTAAGGGCAGGTTTCTTGAGAGAGTTGGACGTAGTCATCCACACGAAATATGGGTTATTTGTCATATATGAAAGCGTCGAAATAGCTTTTCGAATACTCAACGTTACTGGTGAAGAATATCAAAGTTTGTAGTAAT